CGAGAAAAAAAAATAGGATGTCAAATTTACTCCCACATTTTTTCTCTCATTTCAGTGTAGTCAGATGAGATTTGGGATGACTTTACCTTTTCTATATTAGTTTGTTTATTAGATGTATCACACAGTCAGTGAAACAGTATTATTATTTACTGGATAACGAAGTTTTGAACACAATTTATTGCCGTTCGTAATCATATCATCAATTATAATCACAAAACTTCGAAACTTCAGTTTTATAGTTTTCTTTGTTCTCTCCTATTCGTCGTCGTCGTAGGTGAAGTAGAATTTTTCAGATGTCTGGCTGGACAGGTGTTGAATCATTCCTATTACATGTATTTGCAGTTGATTCGATAAACAAAGCTTCTGTTATCAATCTCTCCCTCCACCCTGTGACAGTAGATTTTGAAACTGTCATCCTATCCCATCCCATCCCATCCTATGCTGTATGGTTGTGTGTAATTGCATGTAGTGAGTGCTATAGCTGAACTATTCTCCAGATTTCTTATCTTATTCGGGTCAACCAATCTAGATTTTGCTAGGTTTTTATGCTCGGCTAGTCTGACTCACTGCCCCTGTTCTACTACTTTGACCTATGTATTTGACCTGACAATCATTGCAGACAGGGTATTAGATAAACTAAATTGTTTTGTTTTAAAGGCTCCACAGGATTGATCCTTTATCCGACAAAGCTTGTTTCTAATTGAGTTTGTGGTTGGTTTGAATGCCAGCCACTTTTATTCGTGTCTGCCTTGTTAATAATTCTGCGTAAGGCTTCTTAGGTTCCTTCCTTGTGTGGAATTACTACTGATGATTTAGATTCCTTATTGTTGATGTCGTCATCAATATTATTATTATTATTATTATCACAATCGCTATTATCATTATTTATTTTATTTTTACATTTCCTTATATATTTCCTGACTAATTTATCCGGGTAATTATTAAGTTTCAAGGCTTTCACCTTTTTTCTGGAGGTAAATAATTCTCCCTATTAGATTCTCTTACTATCAGGAGAAAATGGATGACATCGGTTCGAAAATCGTTGAGAAATAAGTAAGTTAGCATGAAATGTCACTTCCATCCTAATTTGGGACATCTCGTGAGATCTCCAGTGGCCTAGCGTCTAAATAATTCTTAGTCGAAAATAGAAAACAAGATGGAACATTGAAAAGATCCATCCGTAGAAATGTCAACATGTAATGGACAACTCTTTAGACTTCTACAGTTGAGTGTCTTTATCTGCAAAGTGAAACCCGATCAGCTCATTGAGCCTAAGAATACTCAACATTTGCAGTCCTGACACCATGGGAGGGAAATTGAACATTGTAAAAGGGATTCTAATTGGAAATGCTAATCGCGAATGCTTCGTGATAAAATCCATGATGCCTACACCACTAAAACTGCATACACTTTCTGTCTCCGAAAAAGTTCTCTATTTAAATCTAGAATTTAATGAAGACTCACCGGTTCCGTTTGCTGAAGAAAAACTTCTTCAGAGCTGAAGTTCCACTCAATTTCTCTAGCAAAAAAAAATCATTCATATGGACATGAAGGGTAAGGTACCATTGCTGGCTTCATCAGTTTGTATCTATCGGTCTACCTGCTTCTTGGGGGGTGGGGGGGAAGGCTAGGTAGGTCGACGTATCCAGCGTCTGCACTCCAAAATATATCCTTATGACTTTACAAAGGAGAAAATAAAGATCCCCCTTGGTTCTGTTTGGGAACAACTTCAGAGCCATATACAGTGTATGTGGAAAGCTTCCCAAGAGGGTACGAATTAAACTTCTTCAAATCGCAGAAGTGATGGCTATCAACAAGTTAAATCCAGGATCCTGCATATGAAAGAAGTTTCTTCCGTCAATCAACCTGCAATGAACCTGTCTTAACACTGGATATATAATTTTTGTTAATTCTGATATTTTTGGTTTTTTGATTACATTATTCTTCTCTGCCCCCCTCCTAACAAAATTAGATTTCGGATCCTTATGACACTGATATTAACTTGAGTACCTTTCAATTTCAGCTGAGTTCTGCTCATTCCAGTCGTTCATTTTATTGTTGAGAAAATTTATTATACATATGTGATCTTATAGACTGAGGATGATATCGCTGAATACCTTTTCCTGGATCGTATCATTCCTCTGACCCTTTTCTTTTTTTCTTCCTTCACGTCTCAAGTGGAACATAGGGCTTCAAGCTTGTGGCTTGAAGTTTCTGTAGCAGTGTTTATTTTACAGGATGGGGTTGCTAGCCTCATGCCCAACCTTTCCTCTTCACCAGCTTCTAGTTCTGGCTTAGCGAGTTAAGGGAGTGCGCTGGCCGGGGATCGAACTCCGGACCATGTGTATGGTCGGCGAGCGTCCTAACCACTATGCCACCGACACCCTGACCCTTTTCTAGTTGTTCCAAATCCGCTTGATTTCTGGAAAAAAATTATTTCGTCTTACCTTCTACACTAGGAACTTATGGTAGTCTGGTATCACTCAGACTCTACTTCTGCAGTTAGTTTACTCTTTGCTATTAGGGAAAGATTTTGTTACATTATGAAAGACACTTAAAACTGTCGGCAGGATGAGTAATGTGTCAGTCAACCAAGTAGTTGATATCGTTGTTAACAGGCTATTGAACTCATGCAAGAAATTCGCTAAAGTCATCTTGTCGGACTCTCAGCAGGCTCTTTATTAAGAAATGTACCCTTGCATTATTTTGATGGGACTAATGACAACTCTGTTAATGCCTTTATGTGAGTTGGCCGTCCGAAAGTGACACGGAGAAGATCATGTGAAAGGCGGAGAAAAGTTTATGGCCAATCATGGAGTCTGCTAAAGAGAACTGCAGAGGAGATAAGTCGTTAAAATCCTATTCTCCACTGGTAACTTAAGGAAATAACAATAACTATGATGTCAGTTTGAGGATGGTTACTAGCAATGAAATCCAAGATGTGCATTTCGTCCTATTTGGGATTCGTCACCTGGATTCATCTGCATTCTTCAGTGAGTCAGTGATGGCGCTCTCACCGAGGCTAGAACACATAGTTTCAAATGTCAAAGCGTCATTCGCTAGACCACCACTTGGGCGACGAGATCCACCTCTTTCTTGTGCAACGGGTCTTATTAATTATTTAATTCAATTGAGATTTTCCCGTCGATTGATTGGACTGAAGTGTTCGGTCTCAGGTTGACATGCTGAATCCTTGGGCAGATGTTTCGACGATGTCTGGTCCATATCTGTAGCTTGAATTCAGTTGGTGGTTGGTGACTAGCAGTGGAGTCCAGGATGTGCAGGTACATACAATGATGAGTCCCAAATAGGACGAAACGCGCTTTGCCCTGGATTCCACTGCTAGTCACCATCCGCCAGTTGACTTCAAGTTACACATGGACTAGACATCGTAGAAGCATCTGCACAAGGAGCCAGCATGTTAACCTGACACCGAGCACTTCAGTTCAGTCATTCGACAGGAAAATTTAAATTGAATTCAATAATGACAACTATGTTTCTACGGCTGAAAAAAGAATATCAAAGACACCTTATATGGGGTATGCATTTTACGCGATGAAAAAGAATGTCGGGCATGACATTATCAACTTACTGAGAAATTGTAAAGAATCGGCACCTTTTATTCTTTTAAAAGCATTAATATTCTGTTAATAATATTATTCGTATTTTTTGTACTTATATATTGTTGCCAAAAGTATAACCGTAAATGTCGCGGAAAGTTTTTTTTTGATTATTTTTCTGTCTTAATTAAGTAATTTAGGGAGAAAATTGGATGCACTATACGTGGAAAATTCCATACTGTATCAAAGATACCGTTTGTAGTAATGTCATTATTACTTTGATTATTATTATTATTAACTTGACTGTTTATCACAGAAGATTCAACTAATGTGCCTATCGAATATCAAGTTAAATCACTAACTGATATCAGTGAGAGAACTACTGGAAATCAGCGACTACTGAACAGCTGTTTCGACATAGTTAAGGACTCTTCAAGAGTATGACGACAATAATCCCACCAAGGTTCGCCTGCATTCCGCACGATGTCATTCGACGGCCCACTCAACGTATCCCCGATCAATCCATCTCCATTTTCTCCTACATATCCACTTGTTGGGCGATCGGCTCTTGCTTGTTGGTTTGTTCCCAGCCAGCCAGAGTTTCTTGTTACTAATTCTTTCTGGCTGGCCGACTGGCCATTTGATCTTCAGTATGGAGCCAGCCAGCGAAGGTAACAGCTATTATCTATGTTCACCTGGAGTCCTGTCTTTGCTATTTCTTCGACCAGTTTGTCAGTATTCGCTTGTAAGTTTTCGATTTTGTGTGACATCAAACATAAGTCATCCGCGAAATCAAGGTCTTCCAGGTTCTTCACGTCGGTCCAGAATATCCCTGTCCTCTCGTTTCCCACTGTCTGATGCATAATCCAGTCCACCACAATTAGGAATATCATTGGTGATAATAAGCACCATTGTCTGACTCCTGTGTTTACTCCAAACGCCTCGCTGAGTTTTCCGTTGTGGATCACTTGACATGTGCCGTTGTCGTACAGTTGTTGAATAAGGTTGATGAATATTTGGGGTACGCCGTAGTACTCAAGTAGTTTCCAAATTACTTCGCGGTCAACGCTGTCGAAGGTCTTCTCAAAGTCTATAAAGTTGAGGTAGAGGTTTGATTGCCATTCCATGCTTTGTTCGATGATGATGCGTAGAGTTGCAATTTGGTCAGAACGTGATTTGCCTTTCCTGAATCCAGCTTGTTCTGGTCGGAATTCTGCATCCAGTGCGTCCTTTATTCTCTCCAGGATGATGCGACTCAGGATTTTACTTGGCGTCGACAGGAGCATGATTCCTCGCCAGTTCACTATAGTTAAGTCTATGAAATTTTATTAGTAATTCGTCAAACGTTCATTGTTATCATCTTGTATCATGTGTGAATAATCGATTATTATGTTATAATACATTAAATATTTCATAAAAAGTTATAAGCAAATCTCTTACTTGTTTAAACGGTGCATTTCCGGCATTTGGTTTAACTGGTCTTCGAATTGTTTGAGCTTTTGGTGGTAAATTAGGCGTTCTTTCATACACAGCATTAATAAGTCTAAAAATTTTGAAAAAGAAAATACACTAAAATATAAATTCTACTAACTGGAAGCAAATATACTTTATATTCAATGCAATTTTAATAAATTTATTATAACTAAAAGTTAAATCGATACACTTCATGGTCACTTACTACATTAACCAATCATAAACATCCGGGCATTCCACCTCGGGCAGATTATTGACTAATACAAACAGAGAGTATCTATTTCGCCCTCTATCGTGATTCACGAATTAACCAATCACCAGAGACTAACCAATATGGCGTTATTCTTGAGTCCTTTGAATTTGATTGATTCAAAGTAGTTCATATTACGGATCGTTTGATGAATAGGTGGATAATCAATGATTCCTAAGCTTAAGACTCCTGTATAGCACAAAATTAGCATTTCATGCCAATGTTTATTTATTTATTTTATTTTATTTTGATTTACAGCTTGATTCCACACCGTATTTTCAGTACAAGTATGGAACTTTCAGCATGGATATCGGTAGCCCAAATTCAGGCCGACCATAGATATCGGGTGTGCGCCGGTAGGGGATCGAACCCCGGACCATGTGCATGGTCGGCGAGAGTCCTAACCACTGTGCCACCTCGCAACCCAACGTTCATGAGTGCTCACCGCTGAAATGTCACGAAAAGTAGCATAATAATTGTCAACTTGTGTAATACAATATGTTTAGCATTATTGTGGTTAGGTGCAGAGTGCTAAGAAAGCAGGAAAACTTCAATTAACAGGGTTATAAAGCTCTGTCGACTGAAATAGTTAGGACGTATGTTACGCATACTGATACGGGACTATAAAGTCTTTAACTATTGGTTTGAGTTAGTCACGTAAGCAGGTGTAGATTGCTCAGATACGACTTTTGGAATTCTAAGAAATGATTGTGTTGATTGTTGGTGATATAACTGAGAATCGCTTTAGGCAGAAAAGAAGAATCCGCTTCTTGACATGTTCCAGACTCTGAAAATCCTAAATAATAGTTTCTCATCTACTAAAGGAAATAATAATAATAATTGTTAACATTGGAAGACTTTTACAGAAATCAGTAGCGTCACCATCTGTGAAGAGGATAGCTTTAGTAAATAGTCAGAACAAGATGTAAAAATTTGCAATTAGTAGTGTTCTCTGAGCTGGATGGTTTAGTTGCAGAGCTTTCGTCGTCCCCCTCCCTGCTGGGCGACATCCCCTTTCAGCGCAATCTTTAGCACAAAGTGAACTGATTTAAATTTTCGATGAGTGCTAGGATTGCATCTGCCGGTAACCATCTCCATAACATCTCTATTGATCACTTTTATTGGCTTGGAATTTGAACTTTTTTGTCATGTGACGATTTACTTTTATTAGTTGGTAGATTTGGTCTATATTAACATGTTTGTTAATCGCATGTTCGTTTGAGTACCAGGCCTCTAGGAATTCTCTGGCATTACTGCCTTGTGTTTCCTCCGTTTAAAATCTCGACATTATCCCAATCAAACTGATGCCCATAATTGTCTACATGCATTAATATGAAACAGGAATATATATCATGTCTTTTCACAGCTCATTTGTGTTCCTGGGTTCTGGTTCGAAGGGGATGCACACTTTGTCCGATGTAATGTCTCTTACAGTTCATACATGCACTTTTTTGTGAACAGTATTAATTTCTTCTCCTTTTTCTGTTGGATCTTTCGGTTTGCATAACATCGAATTAAGCGATTTGACTGGCTTGTGTGCTATATCTATTTCAAACGGTCTTAATATTCTGGCTGCTATTTCAGAGATATTTTTAAGGATGAATTTTCTTGTAATCTTTGATGCTAGCTTGTTGTTGGTGTTATGACTCGATTTTAAACACTTTGTGATGAAATTGTGCGGATATCCATTCTTTTTGAAAACGGTTGTTCTCTTCAACACTGGAGTACTACAGTATGTTTGAACTCTCTTTTAAACAATGTATGCACACAGTTTCTTTTGTGGGTTATTAGGTTATTGCTAGTACATTTGCGTATTTTATCTGTGTGCGTTCATTTTCTACTTACTAATGGCAAAGCATCCACCTGAGCTATAAATCTTCTCTATTATTTCAAGATGTAAAAATACTGTGTTTTAAGGTCTTATCTGAATAATGAATGCTCAGTCGCCTGGACTATGGGGACAGTCGCGATTTGTTTCTTGAGAATACTTATGAGTGATAAATGTATTTCAGGTGGCCTGATTTCTACGAGTATACGTCTTGTAATGCTATTAAGACATATATTCCATAGCTTATCAAGTAATCGATTATTTTTTTTTCATTCCATCAGTTCCCTAGTGGAAAACGAAGCTTCAGTCTTCACTGTAGAAGCTGCACCACACTAGTAAGATTGTGGGCCTCATTTACAAGCTTCCTTCTTTTTTGGTCTTACTCATGGCTGGGCGACGTTCGGAACTGCTTTGACTGTGATTCGAAACCAGACTAGAATCATGACTGGTGACAACTGAAAGGTAAAGGTGAGTGCCAGCTACTTTATCTGATTGACAGAGACCAGCTGTGAAATCACTGAAAGCTCCTTTCCTCCTTCAGGTACATAAAACCTCTATATTTTTTTCTTAGTAGACTAATTGAGATAGTGGTAGGTTCCAGTGGGAACACTATCAATACACCTTATGAATTCAAAATGGAACGAAACGCCAGAGTCAGTCAAAACACCTCAAATTAACCTAAAGACATCGTTAAAGACTCTGTAGTGAGATTCCTTCTTGTTGACGGAGATCAAACATTTCCTCCCAGTAGAATCAATCACCTTAAAATTTAAAGTAATTTCAAAAAATATGTCACCATGGTGATTGACGCCTCAATAATGCCTCTTCAAGACTTAGTTTGTAGGGATTCGATTTGTTCCAATTTTGATCAGGTATTGTTATCAGTTAAAGAACCATCAAAAACAAGAGAGTACAGGTTACCCAGTTGTTTCGTCCCAATTCGGGTCTCTTTTGTGGTACAAACCGATCGAGGTTCGAATCCAGGACCTTCCGGATACAAGGCAATCTCGTTAACGACCATTCCAACACTGGGATCCAACATCTACCACTTCGGGATTTCAGAACGATTACCATTCTTGTGACCACAAGGTCGTTTTTAAGAATTCCTGTGAGCATGTTCTGATGAAAAGTCCCAAAGTAAGAAGACTCAGCCATCTTATATTCCCTCATTTTCAGTGGTTTCCTAACTTACATCAGTCAGTGATCATACTTGATTATACTTTATTGTTCACTAATAACCTGGAACTACATATCAAGTGATAACCAATAAGAAACTCTGAACTTCATTCATTACTACGACTTTTAGGATTTACCAGCAGGTTACATAATTTGTAATCTCAGATAACTCATATCCCTTACTGAGAATCAAAAAGATTGATAAATGCTACCAGCAAAAAAAATTCATTAAAGCATATAATGTTATTAAATTCTGCTTTTTTATTAAAACCTCTGCATTATTCACCTTTACACTTAGCTCTTTTCTAAACTATACTCAAGAATTGGTAATTTTTTCTAAAGTTTGCTATGAAAGCCTTTATTAAAATTAATTTCTGTCTTTATAATATAACAGAGCGAATAGCATTTTGTGTGTGCGTGTGAGTGAGCTTGAAACCTCAGTGACTATTGAGGTTTCTTAAAAGTCAATTAGTTCAACACCCAACACAGTCTACATTACAACCATTGCTGTATTACGTAATCAGAAGTCTAGTAAAATAAGGATTCCTTAAACGATGCTTCCGGCAGAACAAATTGAACTTACTTACCATGCAACTGTTCTGTTATTTTGTTTGCTTATACGGCAACTATTACTGAGATGATTTCAGTATTAGATAAAAGAGTCATTTTGATTTTTGAAGATGAACATTAAGCTTAGAATCTGATCCTAATTTCGTAGTAAGAATCCCATGACCAGTTAGTTATTAAAAACATCTATCCAGCAGTTGTTTGAATATCATTTTATTATTATATCTTCAGATTTCAAGTGAAACATAGGGCCGTTTCACTGGGTTTTCGCTTCAGTCTGCATTTAGCTGACTCCACGACTGCATAAAAGCTTTTATGTTTTTATCGCACGATATCATTCACATCACCGTCGGAGCGATAGCTTGGCGTACGACGTTACTCGGCTGCCTCCTCAATGTGTGTTCAGTTCATCTCCATTTCCATTTTCCATTTTTGGGGTGATAGGTTCTCGGTTTGTTCCTTGCGAGAGTTCTTCGTTGCTATTCATCCCGTGTGACCAGCCATCCAATCTTCATTATCGAGTGAAGGTACCTAGCTGTTGATAGAGTCTGAAGTCTGTTCAAATCGATTTTAGTGACATGCAAAGCTTCTGAATTATGTAGAAGGATTGACTAACTTCATATTAATGTTTGAAACTCGAACCTTGTTCACTGTGCTTGGCACAATAGATTTCCACACTGATTCCAGATTGGTAAATGTCTGTTGTGCGTTTCCGATGCTTCTTGGTTTTGATATTTTCATGGGTGCCGCCTGTAGTTGAAATGACGCTCCCTAGATAAGTGAAAGAAGGGATAACCTCCTTCATATTCCTCCCGTCGACAGTGACTGATGACTGCTTTCGTTGGGTGGGGGGTATGCTCATCCCCTCAATAAATCCCCAAAATTAAACTGTAGTTTACTGATGTTATATGAGGGATATGAGAACTTATGTTGTGGGGGGATTGGAACCATCAGCATTCAAATTACTATTCCCGTACACTACCAGCTAAGGTGTGAGACCCAATTACTGCAATCAGCACAGATAATGCAAAACAGTGAAACCTTCTGAAATATCCTGATGTTCACCAGATGTTCTGTTACGGATTTATGAACAAAGTTACGTTCTTCCTTTGTCAGCCAGTCTAGATAGTATTCTTGAGCGTGTTTTACAAGCGGATACAAGGCTAGGTCAATGTACTCAGTTCCACAAGAGCAAGAGAACTGCTATATGCATATTGATGTAATCCAATGCGATAACTTGTCTTTCATTTGCTCGGCTCTTAGAGATCAGTCAAACCGAGTAGACCACTGATGACTTCGGCCCCAAACCAGCCTAACGGGCATCTGGTCTTTATATCACTTCTATCTACCCAGCAACACACTACTGCTTGATATGAGTGTTATCCAACCACTCATTTTAATTAATCAGTAGTATATGGCGTAATCTAACTACCAATCATCAAGTTATGCATCTGTCAGCAATCCACAGATAGTCTTTATATATCCATGATAATATATCTGCACTGACAGCATTGACTAGCAGTGGCGCTATATTGCGAATTGATAGGATTTGAAAATCATGGGCATTGGATACTAAACCACAAGGCTGAATGATCAAAGTTCTTGGCTAATAATCTAACTGCCCCGAGGTTGATCCCTTTTAGAGTAGTAGATAAGAATGGCTGAGTATTTCCAAACTAGAACGAAATTTCTGTTCAGTGATCTATGGTTAACAGTGGTTAAGTTTTTGACGAAATACACAGTAAAGATTCATTGCTATGGCTTGAAGTGGAGTATAGGGTTTTGGAAGCACATCTCTGTCTCAACCTTTTTTTCTGCAGTCCTCTTTAGTTGGCCACACGATTATCTGTATACCCTCATCTCTTCCTCTCACGATCTCCTCCATGGAACCTTCAAAGCGACGCCAAACTCGTCATTTAAAATTCGGGTTTCACTCGATAGCCTGGCATGTGATTTTACTCAACAAGAGTACGACTCAATTGCACTTTCTTCCGCATATTTTTGGGGGAGTAGGTTCTTGGTTGGTTGGCTGCCTCCCAGAATTCCTTGTTTTTCCTTTCTGGACATATGTTCTTCAGTACGGGGTGAACGCAGCTGTTGATGAGAGTCTGTAATAGCCATTTGGGAAATATTTTTAGCGACATGCCAAGTCTTTTAAGCGTGCAGAAGCACTGGTTTGCCAGTAGTATTAAAAAAACAGACCTTTGTCCACCACGGTGAGTGCAGCAGATTTAATCACTGATTTCACAGTAATCCGATCCTGTCTGGATTTAACATCCTCATCCATGTCTCCACCTACAGTTGAAATGATGCTCCCTAAATAAGGAAAAGGGATGACCTCCTTCAAATTTCTCCCGTTGGTGCTGGTCAGTGTTTCTTATTTCTAGTTGTTGGGTACTTTCATCACCTATGTCTGCTGTGTATTCACTTGAAGTCCTGATTTCACTTCCTCTTCTTCCAACCTGTTAGATTTCACCTGTATATCTTCGACTTTGTGTGTCACTATATATAGATCATCACAAAGTGAAGATCTTGAGTCATGTATATATATATATATATATACATATATAAAGCCATGAATAAAACCACTTAAAAACTGATGTTTAACTTAACCTTGAAAAGTGAACATTTACTAATTTGTTTGAAACAAGTAATTAACATTGTCCAAGGTTATTCACTATTTTTTATCCAATCATTTACAACGCTTGCATACTCTTTCTTGATTGGTCAATATTTATACCTCAACCTCCAACAAGTTTGAGTCATCATCGAAGTGTATGTGTGTGTGTGACAGAAGATACTACCTTTAAATCTATAAAACTACACATTTGTGCATGTTAATAAATAACCAGTTCACAATACAATTTCAAAATACCTTACAAAGATATTTAAACTAGATTATGAACAATCTAACTTCACAATTAACTAGTCGTAACTTCTGATTGATGGAAAAATAATTAATTAATTAGTGGACAGCGCTTTCAAATATTGGTATGTATTTGAAATAAATGTACAGGATAGTGCATTGAACTAGAATGTAGAAATAATTGATAGAAATAGTTTTTTTACTTCGACCTAGAAAGATGACAGATACTTTCAATCAAAAGAAGACTTGATGTTCAAGTCTCAAGTTTGGGTTCGTGAATATAATTTTCCCCTTAAATGAGCATTTACTAAACAAAAATTGAAGTCCAGACATTCGAAATATCCTTCGAGTTGTCTCTTGTTTAAAATCTTATTTCAAAAAAAATTTATGTGTCTCTTATGTTGTTATTATTATTCCTTTTGGTTCTCATCGAAATGTAGGGCTTGGAAAAAACATCACCAGTCGTCTTTAGATAGTTCTACGACTTCCCCGTAGGCTTTCATTTCTCATCTTATCCCTGAACACAAATCCATTTCGTCGTTTCCAATTCAGGTTACACTTAAGGGCTTGACGTACTACACCACTTTACAGTCTCCTCCTCTGAAAAAAGAGTTGTGTGGCATTATAAGTACACCAGACCGTCAAATGGAACCCACATGGGAAGTAACGAGTTTAATGTCGGTCCCAGGTTAGCACCGAGGAGATTATACGAAGAGGAAATGAAAGCTTGTAGGAAATTATGAAGCTAATTGAAATTGATAGCTGAGAAATGAGTGGCATTGAAGCCCTATATTTTAATCGGGAGGTAAGTGGTAACTGGTAAGCTGAAATGTGCTTAAATGTCCTTTGAACCTTTTTTTACATCTATTAGAAACATTTTGACGAGTTATTCTGTCGTATCCAATCAAGATGACAATATCTTCATGTAGAGTTATGGCACAAATAAGACTACTTTTGAAAATAGTTTCATCCCAAACAAATAAAGCACGCAGTGCTTTATACACAAAATAAATCCCCAGTATCACTAATTATTGAGTTGGTGGCAGAGTGGTAACATGCTCGCCAGCAATGCAGGTGGTCTCGGGTTCAATCCCCGATCGATGCACGTGATCACACTAACTGCTGGAATTGTTTTGTTTTAAACTATTGGTATTTGGGGTATACAGGGGGAAAATTTTTTTTCTGGAGCGATTTCGGCTAATTTGGGATAATTTAGAAGCTTTGGGAGAAACTGATGTAATTTGTGGGGTTTTGGGGAATATTAGGGTGTTCTTTCGGGGGGTAAATCTCAGTCATTTGGGTGGAAATTGATGCAGTTTCCCCAATGTTTTTACATTGATCTGTCCCCAAACTTTTATTTGGGTTAACGAAGCATTTAGAAAAAAATTGAGTAAACAATAGTCTTTTCAATAATTTCCTATTCTGGCTCTACAATTATGTGTAGGACGCGGCATACTGTATGTACAGGAAAGTCTTCTACTGCTTTACTTAGTGTAGCCAACGTCCATCCTGGTACTGTTCTTTCTTCTTTTCTGTTTTTTTTCTTCTTACATGACTTACTCCATTCGGATTCTGGAGCCAATATTGTTGACTATGGCAATGATGTGACTGAGTCCATGCCATTTATTTCCCAGATTGTCTGCTCCAAAATAAATAACGTTTTATCAAAAATTTGTCAGTGGTTCTTGATTCCTAAGTGGTCTTAAGCTGAATCCCTCCAAATGTTAGTTATGTTATTAATTTGACTTTCAGGCGCAAGCGCGTTCAACTTACATGAACTGGTTAGTCCGCTTGGTTCCACTATCGTCGATGGCACAGAAGTTGAAACTAAGCCGGATGTTGAATACCTTGGACTGTGTATTTCCTCTGATCATTTTTCCTGGTCTTTCCACATCTACTTAAGAAAGTTGAGACAATCTGGTATCACTCAGTCAGTCTCTACTTTTACAGTTTTTTGATTCTTGTATTCTACCTATTCTTCTCTATGGCTTCTCTTTAATCTCTTCCGGGAACTAATAGCTGTCAGTAAGATGAGTGGAGTGTCGTTAAAAACCGACTTGTTGATACTCTTGTAGATAAACACTCGAACACATGCAAGAAATTGGTGAATATCACCTTGTTGGACTCTGAGTACCCTCTTTATTCACACCTCTTCTCTCTCTTTGCATCTGATTAAACAGCAAGCACTACAGTGAATTCGAGAAGACTTCACCCTCGGACGACCAAATACAAAAACTCTGTGATAGCTTATCTGGCATGGATTTTTTGTAATTCTTTTGAACAGTATCATGAATTGGCTTTAGTTCAGATTTTCCCGTTGATTGATTAGACTGAAGTGATCGGTTTCAGGTTAAAATGTCGGCTTCTTATGCAGATACTATTACAATGTCTGGTCCATATGTAACTTGAAGTCAATTGGTGGATGGTGACTAGCAGTGGAATCCGGCCAGGATGTTGATTTCATCCCACTTGGGACTCGTCAGTTGGATGCACCTGCATCTGCATAAGGCGCTGACATGTCAATCTGAGACCAAGCACTTTGGTTCAATCAATCGCAGGGGAAAATCTAAATTGAATTAAATAATTAATAAGACCCATTGCACAAGAAAGAGATGGCTCTCGTTGTCCAATTGGTGGTCTAGTAGATGACGCTTTGGGCATTGGGTTTGAGCCTTGGTGGGGACACCACTGACACCGGGGAATTCAGGTACATTCACTACCTGACGACTAGTTCAAAAATGGAGGAAGTGGGCGTCATCCTGGTGGATTCCGCTGCTAGTCACCATGCACCACGATTATCAGTGTAAATGCCCTGTGCTATGTGATTTATACAGAAAATTAGGTACAGTATTGCACAACGTGCTGAAAATTTCACGTTCCATAAAAGTACTGTTTGAAATAATTTTAAAAAAACCACACTTTGACTTACTCAACTAGGATACGTCCATTTTTCAGTGATCTTTGAACATTTTCACGTCCCAGTGGAATACTTTGTCCCGTTAGCTGTTGTACCCAACCAATAACTTGACGTTCAGCATCTGGATCGTATCTGCTGTTCAACTAAATGAACACACACACACACAGAAAAAGAGGAATACACATGTGGAGTTTATTAACCAATCCGAGGTACTCATAATTACATTTAAACAAAAGAAAAGTATACAAATCACTCACTGACTGTATTTACAGAATCAGATCTGATCATGGATGGATATCAGTTAAAGAATCGTTGAAAATCAGGAAGTACTAGACGACTGTTTCGTTCTATTCTGGAGATCTTAAGCAGTGTGCATCCACTGTACTCCAAATGCAAGTCCTTCCGGCTACAAGGCAAGTTCACAGATCATTCAACCACTGTGAGTTAACCCAGTGGCTCATTGCAGTTTCAGCTTCCGTCAATTCGTGCATTTAGTGCGACTACCAGAGAATGTCACTGACGATTATTTGTCCTCAGACAATACCTGATGGATACCATTGTTCATCACTTCTCATTAGAAGTTGGAGCAACTTCGTCCTGTAATCAGAAGAGTCCCAGACTAGGACAAAACAGCTTTCCTGTATACCCTCTAGTTTTCTTTGGTTCTCTAACTGACATCATTCCGTATTTTATCACGAAATAAATCAAATCCTTACAGGAGTACTGGATATATATGCCCGTTTCGTCCTAGTCCGAAACTCTTCATCAGCACGCACCCAGGATCTTCGGGTCACAAGGCCAAGATAGTGGACCATTCAACCACTTAGGCTAAAATTTAGTGACGCATGAATTCTAACTTCTGCCAATCCATGATTTTAGCCTCGTCACAAGCCAATGTCATTAGCGAGTAGTTCTCATTACACCCGACTTGCTGGACTCCAGTAATAAATAAACTTCTTGGTGTAGTCAGTCACAAGTTTGCATTAAATTAACACAGTGACCAGTCGGGTGCAGCAGATCGGGTGTGAGGACAAATACTCGCCGAAGACATTGGATAGGGGTCGCGCTATGTCGTGAATTGGCAGAAGTTAGAAGTCATGGGCCATTGGATCGGGTCCCAGTGGCTTAATGGTATACGAGCTCGCCTTGTAACCAGAAGGTCCTGGGTTCGAACTCTAGTGGTGGGTGCGTACTGATGAAGAGTCCCAAACTAGGCTGACGAAATAGCTGTCCACTACTCTCAGGTTTCCCAATGGTTCTTTAACCAATGTCAGCTCATGATGAAAATCCTGTAACCAATCAAATCCCTACAAACCAACACTTGGATATTCTTTTTCCTAACTTCACTTTGAAGCTATGAAGTAATTTGTTCTAGAAGATGCTTGAAAATGCTTAAAAAATGTGTACTGTCAGTATCAGCTGGTAATGTGGCGTGGGCTAATGGTAAGATTTATCAGTAGTAAATAAAGAGACGCTCAGAGGTGTAGAAACATCAAACAGCGGTGAGATACATTTTATTTCAGAGAAGTCAAATGATACAGTGCTGTGGATATACATGGGAGACGTGAAAGGAACACAAAGAAACACAATATGAAGGAAGGCCAGAAGTAGCACAACACGAAGATCTGTGCAAATGGTGCGTTGAAGATAGATAAGGTGTACATAATTTAGCTATATAAAGATACCAAATTCTACCGTTATAGTAATAATAACGTAAAATTAGGTACCAGGGAAAATAATGAAAAAATTATGAAAGTTAGTTAAGCAATTAATCTTACGAAATCTATAAAGCTATAAGTGATGAATATCGCTCAGAAATGACGATCATCGGTAACTCTGCCTCAGGGAAACAGATATACTGTCCATAGTGAGTAAGGGATTCGGAATTTACATACCAGCACCAACGGATTGACTGGTGACGAAATCTCAGCACGGTTCCAAAAAGCTGCTTTCGCCAACTTACACCATCTCTGGCGTAGGCGTGACATCCGGCTATCAACTAAGGGACGTGTGTACTGCTCAGCAGTTTGCTTCTTCCTTCTCTATGGCTGGCTCTGAAACATGGCCAATACGAGTTGAAGACATGAAAAGGTTCACTGATTTTAAGCATAGATGTCTACGATCTCTTTCTCACGTTAGGTGGTATAATAAGGTAAGCAATGTTGACGTTAGGCGTAGAGTGTTGGGCAAAGAGGGAAAATTAATCGAAGAGGCTATAAAGTTACATAGATTGAGATGGCTAGGTCACGTGCTGCGCATGCCTAACCATCGCCTCCCCCGACGGACGGGCATTACTAGCTGATATAGGTGCAGGATGGAAAAGAGTAAGTGGTGGTCAAACAAAAGCATGGCATCAATCCATGAAATCCTTGACAGTTAAACTGAGTCAGGTAGGGAGATTCAGACTTCCGGGTTGGGGCCCACCCTCGGGACTCTAAGAATCAATGGCTTGAGACAATAGGTGACATGGCTCAAAATCGTTGTCAATGGCGCAGATGTATTCAGTCTCTGTAATCTTTCATATTCCTTTCTACCATTACTCATTCTGTTTCACTCTTATACTTGTCAAAACTCTATTGATTCTGCTTACTCATCTTCCTGTGTACCTCTGTGTGCTCTTTGGAACGTGGCAACTCGAACTGCTGCACTTCGGTGCCAAATTCTATATTGAATCCAGACAGAATTTACATACATTGGCTAGCAGTCGCGTAATGTCATGAATTGGCAGAAGTTAGAATTCATGGGCGCTGACCGGTCGATCTGGTCTCAGTGGCTTAATGGTTTACGAGCTCGCTAGCCTTGTAACCAGAAGTTCCTGGGTTCGAACTACGGCGGTGGGTGCGTGCTAGTGAAGACTCTCAAACTAGGCTGATGAAACAGCTGTTCAGTACTCCCTGTTGGTTTACCAATGGTACTCTAACCAATATCAGCTCATGATGAACTCCTGTAACCAATCTAACAAAATCCCTACAAACCAATACTTGAATGCATAAAGTATATTTTAAAGATAGCAGTTTAGATTTACAAGTGCCTGCCCTGAACCTTTTACTTTTATTAATGATATTCCTGTTCTGCCAGTGGTAGGAGTTTAAATGATAATCGTTTCTGAGCGATATTCATCAGTACTTGGTTTTTAGATTACATGAAACAGCTTAACAATTCTTAATTGTGGTGCACTAGATTATGTGGCGAGAAGACAGGAATCTGTTGGACCGATAAGAAGACTCTAGAAGATCTCGACTTCACTGTTGATTTGTTTCTAATGCTGTATAAATTCGAAGACTTACAGTTGAAAACCAATAAGTTGGCAGAAGAGGCTCGCTGCGTAGACAGGACTTCAAGTGAAGTAGAGAAAGCAGGTGTGGTGGAGACACCTAACTAACGACAATAAGCACCAGTCGTCAACAGTGGGAAAAAATTGAAAGAGGTTACGTCCTTCACTTATCCAGGAAGCAAGGTTTCAACTACATGCAGTTGGCATGGATGAAGATGTGAAAACCAGCCAGAATTCGAAAGGTAAGATCTGCCTTCATCCATATGGAATCAGTGGAGAAATCTCAGGTACTCAGCCAGAATAAAGAACGCGATTCAGTTTTTCAACACCAATGTGAAGTCAGTCAGCCCTTCTCTGTGATTCAGAAAGTTGGCACATCACAAAGGCAATTTCCAACAGACAACTGAAGATTTTCATCAACAGATGCCCTCTCTAGCTGTACACTAACGATCAGATTGCTCGCCAGAAAGGATCAGTACCCAAAAAGAATTTCTGAGAACTTACTAATCACAAACATAATTGCTCAACAAATATGACGAAGGAAATGGAGATGGATTGGACAGACGCTGCAGAAACCGCCAGATGACATCGCACGCCAGGCAGTCACCCGAGTGAAACCCTAGTGGGGAACAACGAGTTAGGCTTCCGAGGAGACCGTGTGTAAAGGAGACGAAAACTTATGGGTAACCGTGGGCCCAGCTAGAGAGGACTGCAGAGAACAAAGCAAAATATAAATTTGTTGTTGGAGCTGTATGCGCCAGTTGGAACTCGGTGAGATAATAACAATAGATAATAATCTTCAAGTATTGGTTTTTGTAGGGATTTTGTGTGATTGGTTGGAGGATTTCATCATGAGACGATATCAGTTAGAGAGCCATTGGAAAACCTTGGAGAACTGGACAGCTGTTTCGAACTCCGGTGGGTGCGTACTGATGAAGAGTCCCAAACTAGGCTGACGAAACAGCTGTCCAGTATTCGCAGGTGGTTTTCCAATGGTTCTCTAACTGATGTCAGCTCATGATGAAATCCTCCAACCAATAAATAATAGCCTTACAAAGTTTAATAATTTGTCCACCTTTTTTTCCTGATATGCAATTTTTCATCGATTTTAACAAATGACCTTTAGATAGGAACTTCCTTAACTTTTTTAGAACTCCAAATAAGTAATTCCATACCTTTGAAATGAATTTACGAAAATGGTATTCCTCTTTGGTGGATCTACATTTTATTAGACTTTGTGTCACGTTTTAAATCATGTCACCAGCATCTTACTTTCTTTGATATTCCTTAATTATTTATAGTCTTGGAGAAAACGATGTTTCTGTGAAAGGCTAAGATGACCATGAACCCTAAGTGATGATAAGTTCCATTTGCATTGTGAAGTATCATTGTGCTTACGAATCACTCAGACTTTCAGTCTTAAGCCACTAAACAAATTATCAGAAAGCCAAGCTGACTTATCTTTAAATCTAGTTAAAATTTATCGGTGGAATTATCTAAACTCGAAGTAAGGTGAGAAAAAGCTACAGGGTTAATTAACATGTATAGTCAATGGTGTTAAATCTGGAATCCAAGTTTCGAAACTGAAATTATATTTAAACAGTGGAATGAGAGGCGGTGAAAAAAATAGTTAAGGTGTTTCGAGGGACAAAAGTAGGATGAAGATATAGGATGATTACATCCATGGTCCTTATAGACCATATAGTAGTCGGCCATGGTGGACATAGAAGATGCATAGGAGATTTGGTTTATTCCAATCGACCGCTATAACTACAACCACAAGAGACCTGACGGGATATTCTTTGGGCATCAGTGGTTCAGAGGTAGAACCCTCGCCAACCATGCACCTGATCCGAGGTTTGATCCTCG